ATCATCAAGGTCGACGGAAGTAAGCGTATCGTCATTTATGCCCTTAGGGACATTGAGAGAGGTGAGTTGTTCCATTCAAAGCTATTGTTGTTTAATTATTATAGATTGCTGACTTCTGCGTAGATGAGGAATTGACGTACGACTACAAGTTCGAGCGAGAGTGGGATAGCGATGACCGTATCCCGTGTCTCTGCGGCTCGACGGGCTGCAAGGGATTCCTCAATTAAGCCATTACCATTAATATTGGTTGTGATACTGAAGCACCAACGTTGTCACCGGCGTTGTTACTGGTGTTGAATACCCCTGACTCTTCTACCCGCGCTCGCAAGCACATCACAAAATGCATGCTCTTGTGCGCCGCCGCCTTCAACAAAAGCACCCGACCAGAACTCTGGGCATCTCATCCCTACAAAGCTATAGATATACAGTGTATAGCCATGGGAATAATATCAACTACTTTAAAACAGGGAAGGGCGTTTGATTACACTGACTTCTCCCTTTTACCCTTTAACGATTGGCGTTCCTTGACTTCTTTCTCATCAGTATATTTCTTCCCATACTGCATTTCCTTTCATCCCACTTACTTGCTGCAATTAATGCTTTTTAAGAAAAAAACCAACCCCATCCTTTCTTCGCCCTGTAATAATTCCCATCTTTCTCCTTCTCTGCCTCCTATTATCTGTCTGTCTGCTTCTATTACATGTGTATATTAGCTGGATGGTTTGCTTCTGCTTGCTTGCTTGCCTGGTTGGATGGGATAGATATGGGTCTGTTTGCTCTGCCATGTTCTCTTTTATGCCGCGCTGTGTTTTTTTTTCTTTCCTTTCATGCCGGGAGCAAATGTATCATGGCGCTGACCAAGTGTTTGTTTGTTGGTTGGTCGGGGAGGGGAAAAGGCTGATAAATAGTTTAAAGAAATCAATACATGATGAGAAGCTTTATCTTTCATTCAGTTTTGGCCGCTGATGGGCGTGTTTTGTACCTTTCTCCGGTATGAGCCCTTTGTTAAAGGCAAGGGAGCTAGTTATAAGTTTGAAAAGCGTAGGGTTGTTATATTGCTATAACAAACACCCCTACAGCCTGGTTAGAACCAGGTGCTGGTATCCCGGGTATATCCATCTATCTCCATCCATCAACCAAATTTCAACCCCACATCAATCATACTGCAAATCACCCCGTTAGCGTTTGAAACATTCAAGCATATCCTCAAAAACCCAACATACCAAGATGACTCGGGAGCAAGAAATTCGCAATCCCTTCTTTTATCTTATACTCGTGCCCGCAGTTCCCACACACCAGCTCCCCTTCCACCACATGCGTTTCAAGTAACAACTTATGCAGATCCCGCAGCAATTGCTCATTATTCAACTCTTCGCCTTCAGGCTTCGACTCGCTTATCGATGGGAACCCAAGCTACACCCGTTGCAAAGACCCAATTAGCGTCTGCGCACTACTCAACGGTACAGAGATGGCCTAACTCACTTCACTAGCACTTATTTTGAGAGCAACCCAGTCTATCCGGGGCAGAATATTTCGGATAAAATCAGGCTGGAAGTCGAGTTCTTCTTCCTCGAGCTCTGCGTTGCGGAAGTGTAGTGGGTATGAGGCGGAGGAGGATTTGCATGCCTTGACGGCGCAGGTGACGAAGTTTGAGGCAAGGATTTTCATTCTTGGGAAGTGTATTTATTCCTGTATAGCTTTAATGGTTTCGTAGATGTCGTTTGTATTCGTTGTGAGCCTTGTTAATGGTATGTCAAGTTGATCGATTTGCGGTCGTGGAATGATTTTTAGCTCCAGTAAGTAGAAAAAAATTGCTTATCGCGGGGAGGGAAGAAGCTTATCGATAAGAGATCGACCCCCTATAGTAGGCGTATTATAACCAGCTAGTTAGACTACGCCGTGAGTAAGAGACGGGCAGTGATAGAAGACGGAGAATCTTATGAGATAGTTCTATCTGAATGTCTACTTTTGACAAAAAGTACCGAGTATTAGGGTTACTGTGTAAAAGCCTGCCGCTGCCAATAGCTAGTTATTTCATGATAACATCAATACAATCCATGTCGTCAATATCATTATCCTCAATCAAAGTGTCTGGATCCAACTTATCTCCATCAAAATAGAGCGAAACAGAAATGTGCTCTGGTATCTCCTTCACCTGCCGGAACTTCTTCAAGATATTGCCAATCTGCGTTGAGGGGCGTACTTTGATCCTAAAATCATCTAGATCCGGGTTCTTGAGGGTAATCCGAACCAGGTCCGTGTCAGCTGGCTCTCGAGCCTTTGGCTGTTCGTCCTCACTCTCTTCCTCACTGTTATCCTGCTGGGCGGTGGTTGCTGCTCTGCGTCTTTCTTCCAACATCTCCTCTGTCATGGCCTCCATGTGGACGCCGGCATTGCCTTCTTCCATGTCAAAGGGGGAAGAGTCAAACACCGAGTTGTCGTTGGTGTCAGTATCGTTGATACCCAGGCTCTTGCATGTGGTTACGTCGAATAGCCGTCTTCCTTTCCAGGTCAAGATGATATTATCCGAGGTCTCTTCGTCGTATTTCTGGTGGTTGCACCATGCCTTTCGTACCTCTCCTAGGTTCTGTGACAGTAAGCGACGGACTAGGAGCGACTTGGTGTTTTGAATATTAGATGTAATAAGGATATTCACAACTGTGTCCTTTTTCTTTGGTGATGGATTAGAAGCAGCCTTGGGGGAAGCCGATGGGGTTCCGGTCGTCTTCCTGATGGTGTTATCCTTGCCATTGGGAGATGCCGGCTTGTTCTCCTCCCGCACCTGGTTATTACGTGCCCTTTCTCGAGCTCGTTTGATCAATGCTGCGCAGTCCTCATCGGACTCTTCGTCGTTGTCTCCATCATTGTCCAAGTCAGAGTCAATCTGTATTACCGACTTTGGAGGAACTCGGGATGCCGGAGGAGGAGGAGATTCCGAGTTAAGACGAATGATAGTGCCTGGTGGTGAGGCTCCTATCAGTTGTGATTTCCTTGGACTGCTCCGTTGTGAGCCGGGCTTCCTGGGACTCGACCGAGCAGAACGTGGAGACCTTGGAGGTGTTTTGCTGGTCCCGGCTTCTTCCAGCTTGAGAGGGGTATCCCTATTAAGTGTGTCACTTCCACTTGCAATCTCCTGGGGTGGTGATTTGATTCTGGACTGAAGCGTTGAAGTGGTCTCGCCCTCGTCTTCGTTGGATATGCGGCGTCTCTTGGGCTCATTAGGTGCACAAGGAGACTCTTTAGCTGTAACGGCCTCGTCATCAGTCTCATCTTCGTCTTGAGTCGTGGCCACAAAGTCCGAATACACCTGGTTAGAGCGCCGGAAGAAGTCCTGCGGCTTTGCAGGAGTGGATGCCTGCGCCCAAGTTGGTTTCTTGAAGAACGACGCCATGGCGCTCTGGTATCCAGTTATAGAGTGAGCGTATATCTCATTTGCTGGTCGGTTAGCTGTGTACTGTCTTTGTGTGGAAGTGGGATGAAGCTGCGAGGAATTGGCCCTCGAGGCTGGCGCTTCTTTATAGCTGGCAAGCTCGGTTGCTGTGTTGCTGGATGAATGACGCAGTTGATTAGTTGAATAGACACAAACTTCCACGGGCCATTGACGCCAGCAGCCAAAACAGCTATTCAGCCTTTCTCTGTCGCTGCTGCAAGCTCTCCTGGTATCCAATCCTGCTCTCTCAGCCGTCTTTCTCGTCTTTCTCTTCTTCCTTTTCGCTGCTTGAAACTTGCTCGCGTCGCGTTTTCAATTTAACCAACCCGGTCAGTCACGTGAGCGATTCTTGTGTTGTTGAAGTTGAAGAATCGAAGAATCGAAGTCGAAGATAAAGACAAAAGAGACCAGGACGGTTTGATGAAGCTGAGCTGATCTTCGCTGGTTTACAGAGATAGAACTGCTTGTTGGCCTGACTCGAGGAGGCTCTAGGGTTGCTGCTTGCACTATCTGACTTACAATTACAATGGAGGCCACTTCTGCTTCCGAGGGCAAAGATCCCTCTGCTTTCCTGGGAGAGATCACCGGTGCTCCAGTCACCGTCAAGCTGAATTCCGGCGTCGTCTACAAAGGTATGTTCTCTTCCTGTTGCTATAGACCGCATGTTATGGCGGTTGTTGTCAGGAAAATAAGGTCTAATTCTTCGGTATAGGCGAGCTACAGTCCGTTGACGGCTACATGAACATTGCGCTGGAGAAGACCGAAGAATACGTCAACGGTAAAATGAGACGGAGCTACGGCGATGCATTCGTACGAGGGAACAATGGTATGCTTGGGCTATGTCTTCTTGAGAGGATCCCAGACTGACCCGATTGATAGTGCTCTACATATCAGCGGACTAGAAGCTCTCCTTGCACATCTGAACACGCATGCGACACTATAATGATCCAACTCCAGAACGTCTTTTGGGCTTTACCTTGTTCGGTACACTCTGCAGGCGAAATCTGAATGAATTAGGGTTATGGACTATGGGCGTTTAGGGAGTCAGCTTGGATGAGATTGAACGACACCCGCCGTGCCAAGGGGCCGTAAGCAGCATGGCTTTGCATCCAGGGACTTGAGATGAAGCAGTCGATGATACTAGGGAGCTTTTCCCTGAGCATTCCATCGCTGTTATAGCTTAAGCTGCTATGATCCTCCTGTAGATCTACGAGCATCTGTACTTCCGCCTTTCGCCGATGAAATCGGTCTTCAAGTAGAAAAACGTCATCTTGCCAGATAGAGCTCTGCGAATGATTTCTTGTATTCACTACTTCACCGACTTTAGTCCGTGGTGATGGCCCTATAACCGTACTGGCTCTATACATGCCGATTAAAATTTTATATCCGGCGGTTTGCCCCTCCCCCACCCGTTACCAGCTTACGATTCTCTCCCGCAGCCAGCTACAGCTGAAGAATAACCACCTTCGCGCCTATCCGCTCACGATAAGGAGACATAGATCAGCCTGCGAAGGGGCCGTCGTCAGGATAGCCCGCCATGTCTCTCCAATCTATCCGGTACAAGCGCGGGATGCTGCAGGTCCTGGATCAGCTCCAGGTTCCTCACGTCGAGCGATACATCCCCGTTTCAACGGCAAAGGAAGGATGGCATGTTATAAAGGAGATGCATGTCCGAGGGGCACCAGCTATCGCTATCGTTGCCGTCCTCTCCCTCTCGATCGAGCTGACGGAGCTGATGGACCATGACAAGCTGTCCGCCGAAGCAAACGAGGTCGAAGCGTTCATACTAGAGAAGCTAGACTACTTGGTTACCAGTCGGCCTACGGCGGTGAACCTGAGCGATGCGGCTATCAAGCTGAAGGCGCTGGTGCAGAAGAGGAAGCAGATCGGAGATCCCAAGGGGAAAGACCTGGCAGAGGCCTATGTCGAGGCTGCGGAGAAGATGCTGATTGACGATGCCATGGATAACCACCGACTGGGAGATTTCGGCGCTGCATGGATCATGAATAACACACCTGTTGGCAAGGACGGCAAGAAAGTCGGTGTCTTGACACATTGCAACACGGGGTACGCTGGCCAATATCAAACCAGAGAGAGAATAATAGAAATGCAAGGCATGGGCAAGGCAGGCTAATTGGTTTATTATCTAGATCTCTTGCAACAGCCGGGTATGGAACAGCACTGGGAGTCATCCGCTCCCTCCATGCTTCAGACAAGCTCGAGCACGCCTACTGTACCGAAACACGGCCGTACAACCAAGGCGCCAGACTCACGGCCTTTGAGCTGGTCCACGACAAGATCCCCGCCACCCTGATCACAGATTCCATGGCCGCCTCGCTACTCGCTCAGAAGGGGACAGGTCTTGCCGCCATCGTGGTGGGAGCAGACCGAGTCGTCGCAAACGGAGACACCGCCAACAAGATCGGAACCTACCAATTGGCCGTGCTCGCCAAATATCATGGCGTAAAGTTCATCGTCGCTGCGCCCCGAACGACCATCGACCTGCGTACCAAGGAAGGAGAGGATATCATAATCGAGGAACGAGCAAAGTCCGAAGTCACCAGAATCACAGGGCCACGTATCAGTGATCTCGGCAGGAATGAGGAGAACATCACCCTTGAGACCGTCAACATTGCTGCTCCCGGGATTGATGTCTGGAATCCCGCTTTCGACGTCACGCCCTATGACCTGATCGATGCCATTGTAACGGAAGTCGGAGTCGCAGAGAAGAACGCAGATGGGCTCTTCGAGCTGGAGAAACTGTTTGGTTTCCAATAGTTTTATCTTTCATTGCTTATCCCCCTTCTGTTGCTCGTCAGACCCATTCTCTTCTTCTTCTTCTTGCTTCTTCTCCTGCTTCTCCTTGTCGTCGTCTTTGGCTACTTCGTCTCCGTCTTCCTTTTCCGCTTCAACAGATCCAAGAAGACGATCTATCTCCTGCTCTATGCGCGTAAGATGGTTCTCAATAGCTTGCGCTGTCTGCTCGCCTCTATATAGACACAAGATGTTAGATATGGATTCTCGCGCTTATAGATATATATAACGGTCCAAAAATGCGGCCTGGTGCCACTTACTTAGCTATGTCTTGAAATGCCTATGATAATACTAGAAGTTAGCAATGCTGTCACTCTTAACGGTGCGGGGTCTGGGCTAGGAATCGTGGAAGCTATACCTTCGCCAGGTGCGACTCGGCGCTCTCGTTCTCATTATATCCGCCCATCGTATTTATATATCTTTCTCTCTTTGACCAGGATGTCTCCTTGGAGTCTCAACGGTTGGTTGTTTTACTTGGTTGCCGGCTTCTTTTTAGCCAGAAACAAGCTTGGAGGAACCTCAACGAAGTTGATCAGCCACGTGACTGAATCTTGTTCCAGCCATGACTTTGAAAGAGAAATGCATTTCGCTTCCCCTTTAGAGCTGTGGTGAAAAAGCCATTGGTCGGATGAATTTGACAGTTATTGGTCATATTTTTGGCTATTTTTATGATATATTGCCAGGTGGTAGGTTTTCTTTTATCTGATTATATATTCTATGTTGTAGAGACTACTAGAAAGTCTAGATTAGGATGAGATTTCCTAGGAGATGCTGCATAAAATATAACATCCCTAAACAAAGCTGAAGTGTATTGATGCTCTCTATAACAATATCTCCAAGCAGGGTTTCGGTATCTTGATGTGGTGCTGGTTTCGGTGATGCTTTCTCTCAAACATATTAATCCAACGCTCTATAACAAGGCGACCAATGGGTATTCAATATCCTTCACCCAATTGTCCAATTCCAGGGCAATCACATATCGAGTCAAAATCGTCAAAGACAAAGAGGGGACCACATGGCCTAAAAACCTGAATGGGCTTTATCACAAGGTGAATCGGGATTTGTTTCCAGGTTCCATTGACTCCATACCCGTCCTCCAAGGTTTAAACCCTGCGGCCAACGAAGAAAAAAATCCTGTTGTATATATACATACCGTTGCATATCATATAGCTGATAGCACGGGTATCCTGTTCCAATGGGGTTTGCCTGTCCAGACTGATGTACGCTTGTATGTAATACAAGAATACGTAGTGCAGCTGGTGCCAACTATGCGACTTGAGGATGCATGCATTGCTTTGCTACAAGTGCAGCCGAAACAAGAAAGATAAATGTAGATAGCCCAGAGATGAAGCTAGAAAATATGGGTTAGCTAAGTGCAGAGCAGTTAGCCACGGCAATACGTACGTATGATTCCCGTGATATTTGGAGCCCTGCACCTCGGTTCCGTCATTGAGCCCAGGCTGAATTTGTTGAAGATCTTCGATGACTTCCTTGGTATCATTGTACTTGTCGGTCCAGCATTTCTGTATAATGTCGCCTAGGAGCAGACCGGTGGTATCTGGAAATAAACCCTTCAGGTAGAGTTTCTCTACCTCACTATCTCCTTTGTCATGATATGGCTTGTAGATCGTTGACATTTCATATAGCACGGTGCCTATGGAGAAGAGCTCCGTCTTCACAGTGGGTTCAAGGGGCATGGGACCTTTGGTGCGTATTAGACACGGATGAGTAGAGCGCGTCTCTGGCAAAACCTCGACTTTGCCATCGTCAATCAGCGAGCCTGAAAAGTCAGACAGCTTTACATTGTTGTCAAAGTCAAGCAGAATATTATGGCAGCCAATGTCGAACTGATATACCGAATGCGAATGAAGATGTTGGAAACCACGCAGAATTTGCATTGCCCATCTCAGTATTTCGTCTCTGTGAGGGGGGGGACCTCCATCTTCTTGGAGATTCAAGAGGTGTTTACGAAGCGGATACCGTAATCTTTCGAGGATGAGGCCATTTCCTTCCGGGCGTATGTATTTGACAACGCAGTCGTGGTCTCCGAGCCGCTCGAAAATTCTCCTCTCGGTAAGGACAGCATCGTGATACTCTGGGATCAAGGGAAGTTTATGCGCGGTGTGGTCATCGAGTGCGATGACAGCACTCATCATCCCAAGACCAAGGAGTTTATCCGAGAATTCTGCGGGTTTTGCCATCTTTTTGCTTGATGGTGGACTCTTGAACTGGAGAAAGCAGCAGTATTTTAAACATTTAGATTACCCTGAGTCCAGCCCAGGCTCCACTACTTACTTAACTTTGGAACCTTGACTAAAACCTCCATCCACGTGACTTGTATTATACCTAAAAATGGTTCCATCTGCTACGAGCTCACTGCCTAAGTAAGGGCTTTGTAGGGGAGCTTCAAAATTACCCTTCCATGGGTGCACTCAATAAAATAACCTCTCACGACAGGCCCCAACGCCCTTTGATTACTTTAGTTAACTAAGATGGAGTAGCAAGGGGCTTGATAAACTAAGTTAACCAGTTAACAATCTAATAATTTCGTGGTAACTAAATGTGGGTTCTCCACGTCTGAGAGGCAGATAGGCATAACCTAGTGATTAGGTAGTTACATATATAAAATGCCCCAAGGCACTTCAAGATGAACCCCGGTGTGGAACGGTAGCGTAAGCTTGTGGCCGTGTTTGGTAGTGGGCCTAACTCCGGAAGACAACGGCAGCAATCTCGCGGTTGAGGTAGTACTGGACAGACAGATATAACGTTAACTTGGCTGCCCGTAACTAAGTAAGTCACAAATGGGTTACTTGAGCCTTACCGCAACAGAAACGTTGTTCGGGTTCAAGCAGGTAGCACAGTCTCGTGGCGCTCGAGAAGAACCCAACAAAATATTACTTCCCGGAGAAGCGTAGGCATTCGAGCAGTGACGATACGTTCCCAGCGCCTGGGGATTATCACAGAGGTCGTAGTACCGGATCGTGACAACGTGCTTTGGGTCCTGGCTGCAGAGCTCAGGCAAAATCGGAGCATCAAAGTATCTGCACATATTGCTGGATGGATAGGATTGAAACTAAGATATCTTTCTTTGTTGCTTGTCACCAAATGAGGACACCAAAGGACGACTGAGTAGGTGGTTCCGACTGTGATTCTAAGTTGTCTCTGGCACTATGAACTGTGCCCCTCATGCATCGTGGATTGCTGCCTGTTCGCCCATGTTTAGTCTGCATGCCCCCCTGCCTCTCGGAGTTAACTAGCAGCATTGGCTGGACTCCTGATTAGTTATTGAATGGCCTAGTTAATCGCTCGGATGCCAGCGTTTGAAGACCGAGTTGCTGAAATAACACCGTAATCACCTAACATTCTTCTCAGGATATAGTTGAGTCTCTGTTTTATCTATATCTTAAGCCATACTCCCTTTCTGCTGCAACTCCTATACAATCTAGTGACACTTAGATAGGGTAGGTTTAGGCCTTAGGGAAGTCAAGGGATTAGAAGAGTAAGTATTCCATTTGGTTCTAGACACAAGGTCAATTCAATACTTCATCTTGGATTACGAATATCTCAGAAACAACCATCGTGTGGGGCCAGACAGACGTTTTGTTTCAATAACTAGTTAGTTAAGCTTAAATGGGAGCAAATGCTCCGCAGAGATATCAGAAAGGGCGAAAATAGTAGATCTCTCCGAAAGGTAAATAGGATAGAGTAAGATATGGCTTGACATACACAATAGGAAGAGGAATGCTTCACTCTATGTTGTTATAATTGTGATATAGGTGGATGTAATGGAATTTCAGCCATCCGTATATCGAAGAGTCATATCTGAGAGATTATTAAACAGTCTGCCTTGATTTCGGACCTCGCGCTCTATAATCCGCGGCGCTAATCATATGTATGATCGCAATGTATCCAATCGTGGGTTTGGCCGTGAAGGGCCGCTGTGGGGAGACAGCTGGCTGGGCGTTGCGGGAATGGAGGGGCTGCGAGCTTCGTCGGCATGTATAAATAAGACGGCATGCTGGACTCTGGCATCAAGTTCCTAACCATCCAATCCATCTTCTTTCCAAGTAACAATCGATAGACAGTATACCTCTATACATCTACGCTGACAATGGCTCCCCGAGACATCAAGCCGTTGGTTCTCTACGGCATCTACCCCACAGCCAACCCCGTCAAGGTGGCCATCATCCTCGAGATCCTGAACATCCCCTATGAGCTCAAGTCTACCGACTTCAGACAGTGCAAGGAGCCCGAGTACCTCGCCATAAACCCCAATGGCCGCTGTCCTGCTATCCACGACCCTAACACTGGCCTCTATCTCTGGGAGTCTGGTGCCATTGTAGAGTACCTTGTTGACGAATACGACAAGGAGAACACCATCTCTTTCTCTTCGCTGCACGAGAAATACCACTTGAGACAGTGGCTGCATTTCCAAGTCAGTGGTCAAGGCCCATATATCGGCCAATTCTCATGTACGTTCACCAGATCATGATCCTCGTTAATTCTTTAGGGCAAGGTGACGGGCTAGCTAACCAAGTCACTCATGTTATCAGGGTTCAAATGGTATCACGTCGAGAAGTTCCCGTCTGCTGTTGACAGATATGCTAAGGAGACCCGTCGTGTTATGGGTGTCGTCGACTTGGGATTGAAAGACAAGGAGTGGCTTGTTGGTGGTAAGATGACCTACGCCGACATTTGCTTGGTTCCATGGTTCTTCTGGGCAAAGAGAATCGGCGGAGACGAGTGGTATGCCGAACAAGTTTCCGAGCTTCCCAACTTCCAGAAGTGGTGGAACAAGATTATCGAAGTTCCAAAGATCAAGGAGTTCTGCGCTGGCATTGCACAGTTCGACCCATCATATGTCCCGAAGGATGTTCTGGACAGACTGAACAACGAGACTGCCTAATTTTGGTTCCGGGGGTGGTGAGAGATGTTGATTAAAAAGGGATTTTCTCCTATGGCTTTGCTTTTAACTAGGTAGAGTCATAATGGTATGCTTGTCATCGAGAAGCTAGCTGTAAATAGCAGTTTAATATCAAGGCAATTTCACGCTCGCTCGCAATCAGTCAGGGCTAGTTGATGGACTGGTAGTAAATACATGTGGATAGTAAGAAACAATCATAAGTTAAGGACTGCTGCAGTTCTGCCTTGACCCTGCTCAATCCAAATCAGTACCACCATTCAGGATAAAGGGTATGAGCTGTAATCGAGCGGGTAATAGTTATCATCTCGCTTGAACGGGAGGGAACCAAGCTTGTATTATGATACGCGGCGCGTGCTGGTCGTAATTTGTCCGAGCAGAAGGTGTATGAAGACCCTCTTCTGTTTGATTTCTTCAATCGTAGAATTTCCCAGAAATCATATACTCGAAATTGTAACTCCGATACTCCGGTTGGAGGTCAGACTTTTCGTCGGTCCAATATGCCCGTAAAATTCAATTGATATGACACTGACTCGGCTCTAAAGGCCATCAGTTGCACGACAAATATAAAGAAGATTTCATTCTCCCAGAATAATCAATTGTTTGGCGCTTGCGCGGGTTTTCCTAATGACTCGGAAATAAGTATGAATAAATGGGAGAAAACGGAGAGATTGCATACCGTTTCCACTGCCGCTGCGGTGAATTATATCTTCCCGCTCTAGTTTATTCCATGCCCAATAAGCAGCTTGATAGCAGACCAAGGAGCCTATGAATATCTTTACAAAGGGGCGGCCAAAGTTCTTGTATACCATGACCTAAATGTACAGATTAGTGAGCTTGTTCCTGGAGGTCGGGACTCATCTGGTGTACCTACATGAGGCGAGGGTGGCTTGGAGTTGCTGCTATAGCTCCGTCGGCAAACGTAGGTCATTTTGTATGAAATATCAAACGGTACCAGGTCAGTACTCTGTGTAAAGGGGTTCGATGTCAAGCTTTCAAGCTGAACCTGCTGGAGATTGGAATGTTTGTATCTTCGTCTCCTCGTCATCTTTAACTTTAATCACAGAAAAAGCAAAAGGCTTGGCGAGATAACGTAATCATGCAGATGACATAAGCGACTGACATCATGAAAGATGCTCTCGTGTTCACTTTCGATATTCGAACGCACATCAATGATCACCGACGAGATAAACGGCCAGCAGCGCTCTTTATGACTCAATTCGCTCGAAGGACCTCCAGATACGCTCGATTTTTGTTTTAAAGCCTATCACTACCTTTATTTCACCCACACTCCACCCAGGATTGGTGCCTCAATTAGAGGACAGTTGGCCAGTTGACCACCCTCGCCCAACACTGTGATACATATACACATCCAGTTCAGAACTGGGCGATACCCTTCGATACATACTCTTTCACATCCCACTAAGTCCCTACTTGGGCGATTCTTGAAAGCTCTTGCGCCAATAAGCGACAACCGTCCACCCCCTTGATTCTATTATCTATATTAACCTCCCAGGTCTATAACAAAAAATGGTATGCCAGCTATGAAGTTTCCTTATAATTAGCTGCTTTTTGAATCAATCAATCTAACTTGTTTGCTTACAATCATTAGGCTCCACAAACTCCCCAACAGCGAAGGGCCAACGAGAGATTTGCCAAAAAGGAGGCATCCAAGCGCGGAAAGCCAGAAGCGGCGGTTAAGACGAAACCAAAGGCCAAGTCTCCCATATCTATGGGCTGGGTTGGTATGTGATATTATATAGTGGCCAGCATATACTGCGATCTTTATTTCTCCGTGTTTTCGGATATCAAATACAGCTGCTAACTTGTCTCCTACCGCCAGTCCTACTACTTTTTGTCCTATGCGGCGGTCTCGTTTTCGAACTACTTAGAGTTGTCCCTGCCATATTGGGTCATTTCTCTAGTTTCATCACCAAATGGACCAGCTAAGAGATACACCTTTACAATCTTTTTATCATCCACCTTATACCTTCAACCTAGCATTGCCTCGTTCCATTGTTGATATTCTGCTTTAATTTTCATTCTTTCAAAGCGCCATTATTTGTGGCGTATTCTCTAGCTTTTGTATTTTAAGAATTTAAGACCTATTATCATCCCTGCGGTAAAAAAGGGGGGTTCGGTTTTGACGGAATCAATACCTTTCTGATAGCTTGAAGTAACCATACATACAAAATTCCTGATAAATATTCCTTTAGTTATGTAAACTATGCAATACTTTTTCAACTCTAAAAATATGTCATATCTATCATGCATATCCACAAAGTTAGCCATCACTTCGTTGAGATAGGTGCATATTACCCGCTTATGCAAATAAAAATCCAAAAAAGCTTCCTAGGTCGAATGAACCGAACTCCCCCTAGTTGTATAGTATGGACAAACTACTCCTGACCTTCCGTTTGCACGGGCGTCTCCTTCTGAGATGCAACGACTTTCTTCTTCTTCTTTTTCTTTACCACAGGAGCTCCAGCTTCCTCATCTGCAGCCTTCTCCTGAGGCTGAGAGGATTCACCCTCTGCTTCCTGGGAAGCAGACTTGGTTTTCTTAGAAGATACAACCTTCTTCTTCTTTTTCCTCTTGATCAGCTTGCCTTCAGCAGGAACCTCCTTGCTGCCGTGAATGGCTTCTGCTTCCCGTTGCATTTCTAGACGCAATCTTTGGATTTCTGCCATTGCCTTCATCATTTCTGCATCCTCTGCTTCTTTTCTTGCTATATCACCAACACCAGGTGTTAGGCCGCTATCTTCCTCAAGAGACAGCTGCCCTAGTCCGCTAGAATCAACTTCCAGCAACGATTTCTTGGGTCTTGTTGCTCCGGGTCCTGTTGGCGCAGAAGCGGGTCGAACAGTAGGTGAGGACGGGTTTTCAAATTCAAGTGTTTCATCTCCTATGATTTCAACTTTCTTAGGCTTCGTTTTGCGTTTTGGTTTGCGTGGCTTTTGGATATCTGGGTTTCCTGAGTTCTGTTGACCAATTGCTAGATCAATGATGGGAATTGAGTCAAGATCTAGGTCTTCTTCATTGGCACCACGTAGCGCCTGGTTGAACGGTGTAGCTGAATCTGATGATTCCCCTTCACCTTGTCCGAGGCCGATATAGAAAGGATCATCCTTATTGCGCTCTCTCCTTGCCATACGCCGTTTGGCGACGGCATCTGCAGGTTCAGATAACATCCCTTCGGAAAGATTCTGATAAGAAGTTGGTTGGATAGGAGTGGGGGAAAGGATCTCCTTTTGTGGCTTGGTGACAAAGGATGTCGAGTCTGGTATGTGGTAGAATTGATAGCATTCATCGTGGGTAGAGGAATCAAGCCAACCATTGCTTGATTCACGTTGGATGTGGATATACCGAGGATTTATTGGTTGATCTAGGTCAAGATCACTTGGAATCGGGACTTTCTTCTGCGCGCCGGCTGCTACAGGATTAAGGTCTAGGCCAGTAAATAAGCTTGGTATAGCCGAGGAAACAAGAAGAGGTACATTCCCCGATTCAATGTCTGATGTTGATACCGCCTCCTTTGTTAAGCGTAAAAGTTCTAAGAACTCGATAGCCCGTTCCTGCACGTCCAACTCTGGGTGGGAGGAAAGCTTCTCCAAGAAATCGGTGATCCGTGCAAGCAAGAGCGATACCTCTCCCTGTCTGTCTATGTTCCAGTCATAGAATTGAGATGTAAGTTGAACAAAGACTTTGGGAATGGCTTGAATATATCCTGAAAGAACCTTTGGAGAAAGACTCAGATTGGATGAATGTATAAGGGATGAAAGCGATTGGTCGGGGAAGTTAAGATACTCGGCATATTCACCCACTATCCAGGCAATGGGCTCTAGTAGGTTTGTGCTTGAAGTACCAGAGGAGGGAAACAGAGCGGCTCGATTATCTATGAGCACCAGTGTTTCGGCTGCGCGAGTTGCTTCAGGGCGGACGCTCCTGACTCTCACAGCCACATTGCGGAGCTCAGAGCCAATTCGATTGGATATATCTGCTCTCTGGTCATGGGCGTCCCTGGAAGAATGCTCATCGTTTGTTTTGGAGGCACTGACCGGTGGAATTAGCCGGACCAACTGCACTAGGACATCGACATACCACTCGAAGTCGGTGAGGTTGGAATATGTATCCCGCGAACAGATGTCTAAGATTCGGTGGAGAACTTCCAGACGATATTCGTTCGGGAGTGGGGGTGGAGCCATCCTATCCTGTCTAGCGAGCTCCAGGTGAGATTCCGGGTCTTCATCGTCCTGGTCTGCAGCCGGGGTAATGTGTGCAAGTAGAGAAGTAGTGGCAGTAGGACCGTCTGAAACAGCAGAGGACGTCTGCAGCTGGGTAATTAGATGATTGACTACAGACTGCAGCGAGTCACTAGCGACCATCCCCGAAACCAGTTCAAGGGCCTGAAGTCTGATAGAAATATCGTTGTCGTCAAGACATCCCATGATTACATCCTGATGCGCTGAGACTAGCATGGGATGAGTCGTCACGATCCTGTTGAATGCGAGGAGCGCAACATATTTCACTGAGAATATGTTAGTGTTAAACCATCGTGCTTCCAACGAGGGTGAGCTTACAATTGGGATCCTCTTCCAACACAAGCATGCCTCGGAGCTTATCTACACATAATTGTGCAATGACCTCTCCTTCACGGATCCCTTCTACACCATCGAGAATGCCACCCTGGATGATACCGTTGATGCATTCATATAATAAAGACATAGCAGACGTCGTTTGAATGATGTTAGTTAGAGGCCGTATGAGCTTCTTAACTAATCTTGGTTCAAGCGGAGTTAACGAAGCAAACTGATTCCCCCTGTTAGCTGCTATATATCTCTTGGTTAACTTGAGAAGGGCAAACTTACAAGCTTGATTATTTTTATGGCCATCCAATTATTCCCTCCGTCAACCAGTAGTTCAAATAAACGTGGTGCCAGAGGTAGAAAGTCCTGTGGCCTCCTCCAGCCTAGTTCACAGACGACATTGATAACGGCTGCTGTGACACTCCCGTCTTCTTCTGTATCCATTAATCTATCCTTTATCTTTGGCCACGCTATGCGGAATGCCTCCGGATATACCAACGACAGCCGGTAGAGGTTAACCACGGTTTTCTTCCTTACTACTGAATGTGAGTGTGTCAAGCGAGGTAACAGGTCTGAGAGCAGTGACAATGCAAGAGAGGGCGAGATGATATGCGGAAGTGTGATGAGAGGCAGGGACATCGTAGGAACCTGAGCAGATACAATATCCTGTATGATATCAGCAACCGTAGCTTGTAAAACGGAGTGTACTGTGGTATGCGAACCTTTTTCAAAAGATTGGTAGCCAACATGAGGACTTCAGTATCAACACGGAAGCTCTGCACGGCTCCAAGGTATCCAACGCGCTTCTGGTGGAATTTCGGCGAAGACATGACCTCGAGGACATGGAAGGAGGCCCAGGACATATCGTAGCCGAACATCTCGAGATATATAAGTTTTAACAGCGAAGTGGCCTTTTTATCTGCCGGAATGTCAGCTTCCACACGCCGGTACGTTTGAGGAGTTTCGGCAAGACTGCCAGCAAAGAGGCAGCTGCACTAACCCATATCCTGAGACTTGATCTCTGCACGGCATTCCTTCAAGCTGTTCTGTATATATTCGCCCTCGCTTCCCTTGTGGTTCCGCAGACCTCGGATGAGGTCATACAGCGACTTTTCGAACCTGCACAACACATTAGTAGCTGCAGCTGTAGAAATCTGGGAGTATGAGGCAGTTTACATGGCGATAGATGGCCTCCGCAGTATTACCGACTGTCGATATAGAGGGCGGTCGATGGGGCTGTCTGAGTATCCCGCCGGGCTGAGCAAGCTGTGGTGGGATGGCAGAGGGCGGGTTCTATTTCATATTTAGCTCTGCAGGGTCTGTAATAAATCTCCGGCTGGGAAGAGCATGCAACAGCTCAGGCCGTACGCCGTATCTGCAGTTGTTCGTCTCTCTTGATGGTCCCAGGGTTGGCGTTCAGAGCCGAAGTCTTCGCAAGGCGACGTTGTGTTGAACTCATCGCGCGGACTTCTTAGCGCTCTTCCGACGTCACTCGCCGCCGATTTGCTTTTGGCTGGATCGCAACTACAACTCCGGAGTTTAACTGCGTGGGTGTTAAGTGACCGCAACACCACCCCCAACGACTCGACAATTGGATGCGGCTACTGATATAATATTTACGATGTCTACGTCTCTCCTGCACACACAGCTCGGGCTAAGCTCGTCCGACCCCCAGGCCTCGCTGCGCCTGTCCCAGCAAGCTCCCTCATTCCTGCAGACGCAGCCCTCCCGCTTCCCTTCATTCCCTTTCTCGATCTTCACCCAGCGCGAAACACCGGAGCTATGGACGAGCTACGAGCAGCTTCTGGCTGCCTGTCTACGGACGGGAGATGACAAGTCTGCGCGGGAGTGCCTGGATAGATTGTCGAGTCGGTTTGGAAAGGACAACGAGCGGGTTATGGGGCTGCAAGGGCTATATGATGAGGCTACTGCGCCGGACGAGGCGGCGCTGAAGAAGGTGTTGGAGAAGTACGACGGTATTCTAAAGGAGAATCCAGTCAATGTTGTGAGTAATGAGACATTTCTGAAGCTGTCCGGACATGGTTTGCTAACTATGTGTGTAGCCGGTGTTGAAGCGACGGGTTGCTGTTCTACGGTCTCTAGGCAGAGCTGGTGAGGCTATATCCAGCATGGTAGAGTTCCTGGATGCATTCCCAACTGATGCAGAGGCATGGTGTGAGCTGTCGGACCTGTATCACAGCCAGGGTCTCTCTTCACAGTCTATCTTCTGTCTCGAAGAAGCTCTCCTCATCCTGCCAAATGCATGGAACGTACGTTTTTGTCCTCGTCTACTGGAATTTGAGCTGAAATTGGACATTGGCTGATGAGTGAATAGTTGCATGCACGGCTAGGAGAGTTGCTGTATATATCAACACACTCCCCCGAGTCCGCAGAAACGACGCTAAAACCCCTGGCGGAGTCTGTACGACGCTTCTGCCGAAGCATCGAGCTCTGCGACGATTATCTGCGCGGGTACTACGGGCTGAACCTGGTATGCACTTACTCCTTTATTGTACTACTCCTCTATGAGCGGCTAGGCTTACGTGGTCGTAGAGTACCGCTCGGCTGCTGGAGAGGCTAGGCCCCAAGTCGAGACGAGACGAGACGCTGCCAACAGCCGAGACGACACAGAAGCTCAATGAGCTGTCCGTGCAGAAGTTGCGAGAGATTGTAACGGAGAGATGCAAGGATGGACGGAGCCCGGAGTTCAATGAGAGCGAGCTCATCGCAGCCCAGGCGCTGCTTGACCGGCTGTCCAAGTCAAGCTGATGGGACAGTACATACGTGCATGCACCATCTTCCATCGTCGTCGATCTTCTGTCGGTATCCGAGTCTAAGTATGGAGTAGCTGAGGGTGTGCGCGAGAAACAGCTCCAGAGTTCGTCGATCTACTTAGCATAGCACTCCAAAAAATATGCTTATGGCCATGCTTGATGCACATAGCTCTCCCTCTCTCTCTCTCTCTATAGACAGGCATACAAGCAGTAGATCGACGGGATCTTTCTTGAGTGAACTATTCTCCTAACTTCCATCGTCTGTCTCCCACCAGTAAGCAAGCCTACCAAATAACGAGCACCCAAGCAGGCACGCCGCCACGCGCAAAGCAAGCAAGCAAGTACGAAGACAGCATGACGTGGCACCACAAGCAGGAAGCCGGTAGGAATGAGTAAGGGAGAAGCAGTGGTGAAGGAGGAAAAGGAGGCGTCCTTTGGTCAGGGGTAGGGGGGCAGGTTCCCGGTCAGCAGTCAGTCAGTCAATCCGTCGAGTATCCGTCCGAGGGGAAGTAAAAAAGCGTCTTAAGTTAGCTCTTCACTTCGGTCTATTCAATTGACTATGGGGAATATCGAATATTGACGTAATAGCGAGGACTTTAAGGCCTTTTCTTTTCTTTTCCCTTGCGTCGTTTCTTTTGGCGCTCAGTCAATATATCAACTGTCTGCTTATTTAGTTCTCTACTTCTGGCTCGTATTTGATATTGACATCGACACCGATGAATCGACCAGTCAACCATACCAGCAGCAACAGGTCAGTCGTCGTCAATGAATAACAGCCAGTAAATGAGTGAGTGAGCTGAAGGCTGCCTGAGATGCAGTCAGTCATGGCCGCCAGCAGGCCTCCTCTAGGCAGCAGAATAGACTCGAAGTACCGACGCCTCACTCTGGCCGCCTCACTGCAGGCGGTGACTTTCCCTCTGCCTGTCTCTGTCTGCCTGTCTCTGCCTCTGCTCATGTATCTGTATCTGTATCTGTATCTGTATCATGTATCTATGTATCTGTCTGTGTATCACTCTATGTATCTGCATGTCTATCAGATCTATGCCGAGTCTGTATATCGATCTATGTATAACCTGTATAAACCTACCGTTCCTCGACCTGCTTTTTCTTCTCCTTTCCTTTATCTCACCCTCTTCATCTTTATCTTCATCTTTATATCTTTTTATCTTTATCTTTCTGCCTTCGTCGTCGCCAAAAACTGTGCAGACCACATGACCTTTTCCCGATCAGGCAAAAGTAAACATCAACTCCTCGACTTCAACTTCAACTTCGACTTTTCGCTTCTTCTTCTCGTCTTCCTCTCTTCGTCTTTTCGTCTTCTTCCTCCTCCTCTTCTCTCCGTCAAATCCTCTTTGCTGCCGCGTCGTTCTTCTTGTCCAGCGTCTCCGCCGGCTCCAACCCTGGCTGGGTACCCATCAGGTCGTCTCCGCCGTTGGGTTGGGCGAACCTAACTACGTCTGCCCTACCAGCATCCCCCGCCAACAGCAGCGCAAACCAGCAGCCCAGCAGGCCGCCAGCCCATCTAGATCGATCTCACGGTCAGTCGCTGAGTTATGTCCGTCACTCGCTCTGCCATCACTCACATAATGCATGTCCTCGTCCCCTGAGCCTCTGCTTAGCCGCCTTTGTTTGCGTGGTGCTGCTGCTGCTCCTCGTCTGAGGGGGGGGCTTGTTCCCGAGTATCGACAGCCTGCCTGCAGCGTCATGATACAGATTGGGCAGCAAAGAACACCAGGCCATAGAGAGCGAAGCAGAACGAGCAGAAAAGAAGAAGAAGAAAAGAAAAAACAAGCAGACAAGCAGGCCAAACTCCCCACCTGTGCATCTCTCACCCTGGCCTGGCCCGCCTTGCCCTTTCGCCCTCTTTTTCTTTTTTCCTTTCGGTTTTATTTAAATTGGTTACCTCCCGCCGCCCGCCGTCCGTTGCTTTTGCTTCCTGCTAATGCTCCGTTATTCCTCTTTATATACCCCGTTGTCTCGTCTCTCCGTTAGTTGTTACTGACTGCATAGCATAGCGTACAGGTTAGCCTTCTTTTTGTTGTTCTCGTTTGGCTCTTAGTCCGTCGTGATACCAACCAGCTCCGCTGTTTTGTCGAACAGCCAAGGCCGCCCTTTTTCGATTCAGTTTATATAGACACAAACACAGCTCGCCTCCAGAAAGAAAGAAAGAAAGAAAAAGCCGCCCCTAGCTGGATTCATGTTCTGTTCGCATACCCCAGGAATACCGGATATACTATACACGTTGACTTGCGACGAGACTCCCTGTTTCAGCGGTGACTCGACCTTGGACATCCGAGTCTCACACGGTTTTACACGGCTTCTGCAGTTCCAAGATTCGACACCAACTTCCACGACACCAGCATCGACACCAACTCGCCTCAATTATCCTGCCGTTGGCTCTTAGTTGAGGATATATTCTCCCAGATCGTTCCGTTCCCTGGAGAGATCTGGCCGGATACTTCCTCTTCCGCCGCAATCGTCCCATGCCGTAAGTCTTGTTGTTTATTTACTTTCTGTGTGTATATGATCAAGACCGATGTAACGGAATGCATGCTAACGGCTCAGATTGAACCGTCGCGTGGCTCCCGCCTCTGATCATTCATACAGCGACGACGACTCGTCTGGCACAGGTGTACAGGTCTCTCCGCCTTCCACCTCGAGCCACGAATACCAGGACTACGGAGTTGGAGGTCCTTGGTCTCATCTCCAGTACCCTGACGAACTAAAGCCATCAGACTCCGCCTCGCGACCTCGCACCTCAAACAGACTGCGCGAACCCGTCGATCCTCGGCCATCTCGCCATCGTTCTTCGAGGCGGCACCATCATCACCAGCAACCCCGTGCGCATACACACGCGCACCAACATCCTCACCCCCAGGTCCAACAAGTCCACGCGGTGCCTTCCCACAGGTCAAGACGACCTCTCGCCCGAGCGGCGCCTCCACAGCCGCCTCCGGTCCCCGTATCTCCTGAACCAGACTCCTCCGAAGAGGAAGAGGAGGACGAAGAGGAGGACGAAGAAGACGACGAAGAGGAGGACGAGGACGACTATCTAGACTACGCTCCAAATCCGGCAGACAGACGCTTCTGGCCAACTCCACCAACCCAGGGTCCAGCCTCGTCTGCTCCGTCGTTCAACCCTTATCCTCCGCACCAGCACCCTCCAGCACCCCCATCCTTCCCCCAGCCGCAACATGCTAATGCTGCTCATCCTGGAGTACCTTCAAATCAGCTTGTTCAATTGGGATCTATGGGACATCAGAACCCTATAGGAGGACACATGGGTCAATACTCGCATCAGCAATACCCCTACGGGGGGCACTATCCGCCTCCCCCGCAGGGACACCATCAACAACTACCTCACGGATACTACACTGGTCCAGATGGACTGCCACACCCACACCATCCGCATGCCGGTCAGCGCATGCCACTTCATCACCCACACCACCCACCGCATCACCCGCATGCTCACCTTCCCCGGCACCGTTCACGCAGCGGCTCCCCAGACGATGAAGAGGACTCGCCAAAGCCCACCATGGCTCACCCGGTCATGAGCCACCCACCGTCTTTTCCCGGCACACCGCCTTATATGTCTCCGGAAATGGTACCGTACGGCTATCCACACGCTCTTCCCCACCACCCCATGCTACCCGGAGCCGGACACCCACATGCTCAGGCCCAGGCTCAAGCACAGGCTGCTGCGGCGGCGGCTGCTTACTACCAATATATCCAGCGGTACCCTCATATACCTCCGTCTATGTTCCCGCCTCCGCCATTCTTCCAAATCCAGGGTCGCGAACCGAGCCCGGCTAAGAAAGAGAAGAGTCGGAGTCCATCTCCGCCCAAGTCGCCACCTCCTCCTCCGCCGCCTCCAGCTCCCGCTGAGCCCCCCACCCCCGGATCCAAAGGATGAAGCAATCGCTCGACTTGAGAAGTTAATCATTGAAGAACGAAAGGAACGGGAAGAGCGCGATGCTGCTCGCGAAGCTGCCATCAAGAAAGCAGCCGCTGACAAAGCAGCAGCTGAAGCTCTAGCCGCCAAAGAGAAGAAAATTGCTGCCGATGCTGCCGCTGCCGCCACTGCTGCTGCAAAGGAAGAAGCCAGAATCGAAGCAGAAAAGGCCGCTGCCGCTGCCGCCGCTAAAGCTAAAAAGGATGCTGAAGAAGCTGCTGCTGCTGCAAAGAAAGAGGCTGAGGAGGCTGCTGCCATTGCGCTGGCGGAGGCTACAGCCGCTGCCGCTGCGGCGGGGGATGCCAAGGCTGCAGAAGCAGCTGCAGCAGCAACAGAGGCTGCCCTGAAAAAGCCACCGCCGCCAAAGAAGCCCGTTCAATTCAAAGATGCTATAGGCAGGAAATTCAAGTTCCCCTTTGCCCTCTGCAAAACATGGCAGGGTATGGAAGAACTCATCCGCCAGGCCTTCCTGCATGTTGACTTGATCGGTGAACATGTCCTGAATGGACACTACGACCTAGTCGGTCCCAACGGAGACATTATCCTCCCACAAGTCTGGGACACTGTTGTCGAGCCCGACTGGTCAGTTAGCATGCATATGTGGCCTATACCCGAGAAACCCAAGGAGCCGGAACCCGCACCACCACCTCCTCCCCCCCCAGAGGAAGAACCCCCCGTTGCGGTGGTGGATGTTCCAGCTCCTCCACCGCCTCCACCTGCACCGAAGAAGGTGGTACGTCCTGGCGCACCAGGAGGGTTCGCCAAATGGATGACAGGAGGAAAAGTCAAGCCTAGACCAAACCCGAAGGCTGCTAAGAAGGCTGATGCTGGTGGTACGCCTCCTCCACCTCCACCACCGCCTCCTCCTCCACCATAGACAATGATTTGCACTCCCTCAACAATCACAACATCTGCTCTGATACCACAATGTCAGATCATCCAACGGGGATAGCAACATAAAACCAAGAAAAAGAAAAAAACATCATCACTGGCGGTGGCATTTTGCTTTTTATTTCATTGACATCTCATCTTTTCATTTACACTCATTTTTTGGCCCCTTCTGATTAAGTTTATTGAGCGTGTTGATATTTGACTTCTGTGCCTGTTCCTGACCCTGATTTCAAACCATTTATTAGCCTTTTTGCTTTTGATTTTACCTTTTACAACGCCTTTTCTTCTCCTTTCCTTTGATATCCGGCGGCTTGATGCGAAAAACGACATATAGATCTCTGGTTGTTCGACACTTCTCTTTTTCCCCTTTTTGATTATGCCCTTCGCTTCGCTTACTTTTACCCATCCCCAACACTCTTTTATCACCCCCCGATCCGAGGTTTCAGGTTCATGTTGAGGATGGCATGTATGATTAATGGCGGGAGTTGTGTGCAGACTGAGAGCGTGGTAGGAGGAGCAGGAGGAAGAGGAGGAAGCGGAAATCCACGACATGACGATGAATGATAATGACGGTGGACGCAAGGAGACGAGAAGAAGGTGGGAATGGAAGCAGACATGCGAGGAGAGGTGAGAGATGGGTGGGCTGGTTTCTGTTCTTCAATTCTCCCTTGTGCCTGGGGATGCCACTCGCTCACCTTGCCTCCTATTTACTTTTGATTTCCCGCCAGATGTAATACCCATACCCATACCCATACCTATATTCTTATATGCATTTTATTTCTCAAGTAACTAATTGATTATCTTCTTGACTTTAACAACCTCTACTTACTCAGTACTGCTTCCAAGTTTTTCTCTAAATCACATCCCACATGCGAGACGAAAGCTCGTCACTTACCTAGGCCCCCTGGTGCTGAAATCTTAACCTTACGCGCTCCCTTGCCAGTTTTGTCCTTGTCTTGCCCTGGCAGATCCCGACAGACTTGTTATGAAGCTCATCTGCCTAACCTTCCCTGGCATGTCCTGCCCTGTTCTGCTTAGGTTCTAGCCCTGGAGGAAGAGAGCAAGATTAGCAGCAGGCAGGGTTGGAACAGGGAGTGTTGCAACCAGATGGCATGAAGTGTCTCGCCTATATATATCAGTGACCAGCGTGACGACCGGGATATACAAGTATCAAGCAAGCAAACAAGCCGCTAGCTGCTCATCATGTGTTCGGCTCTTTCGTATGCGCATACGAAGCTGGGAACCCGTTGAATGAGCGCCGGAGTGTAAGTATATCCCATGCGGAACATGGTTAAGTCTACCATGAAACGCCAACACAACTCAATTAGCTTGTGGTTGTCGACCATGTATAAACTCTTCGACCGAATTGGCCATGCATAAGCGCATAAATAAGCATCCTTCCACCCAGTCAATCTGTAATAGCCGACATCTGCCTGTAGATACCCGACTCACATCCACCCCCTAGCCACCACACTCCACAAATCAACATCTTCACATGGGACCTCTCCGCCTGCTCAGCCTTACCTTTTACGCAAAGGTTCGTCCCGCCCGTTCATTTCCGATGGCAGAGAGGCGATGGCAAAAGGGTGTATGGAGCCGTCCGTATAAGAAGTATCAATTGGCACGCCTGGTGTGGATGGCTCGACCCGTCTGATCCAACGGTCTCAGAGGCACAAACTTGGCAGCGAATCGAAGACTCGCCCTCGCCCGTCCCATCCATGCCCTTACACTCTGCTCCCGGCGCTATATCGCAAACCCCGTCCGTATTTCGTCGTCGCTTGCCCTCCTCCTCGCCGTCCCTTTTTTTGGTAAGTAAAGTAACGCTTTTTAATCTTTTGATATTTCTTTTTCTGCGTTTTTACCCCTGACAGCTTTACATAAGCATCCACGTGACCATGTTGATATTTTTCCGCTTTTGGCATTTCGCGACTTCAGCCCATCGACTCTTCAGCTTCAGCGACGCTCAACAGCCGCTGGACACGCTGAATCTGCGCTGGCCTGGCGAGATCAGACGATCGCGGCCGGAGTTCGCGCAAGTATCCGTCCTCCCAAGCTCCATCTGATGGCCCCATGCTGACTTTTACATCTGCTCGCTCTCCCCACACCGGCCAATCAGCTCCGCAAGGCCCGAGGATCGCAAGGGAATTACAAGCCACTAAGAATTTTTCCCGCCCCTTAAGAAACAAGCCAAAGCAGCTGCTCGATGGGCTTGCTCTCAGGCAGCTTTATTTTAGTCTTCACACAAGCCGCAGCAGTAGCCCTGCAGGCACGCTCTGTGTTGTGCTGGTAACCAGCGAGGCCAGGCCACTCAGCGTGCATCTGCATCCGTATATACTCCGTACATAGACAGGAGCGGCAGAAGGATTACTTACGGTAGTTAGTTTGGCCTCCCAGGGAGACCGAGCAGACCGAACCTAGCACCGCCCCCTGCCCCGAACGCAACCACTCGACCTGTCGGATCCCCGTCCTTGGTCCCCATCATCTGTGTGCCTATGCACGCTGTCACGGCTGTGAGTCCCGTCGTTGCGCCTCCTGGCTCTTTGTACGCTTCTGGCGACGGCCGTGGTTGGGTAGTATGTGCTCGATAAGACCTTGAGGGACCAGGACTGGAAGAGGTGTGTGTGGCCAGACGCTTTTTAAGCTCGCACGCCTGCATGCTTTTAAATAAATCAACTAAGATTCGATATTTCCTGCTCACTGGTTCTTGGGGATCAGATATTTTTTTCTTCTGCTTCCCTTCTTCTTGGTGTCTGTTTTTCGTTTCGTGTTTTCGCTCCCCCATTATTTGATCGAAGTGTTCTGGGTCTCTCTCTCTTTTTTTTTTTTTTTTCAACCTTGTCCGTTTCTGTTTACCCCCTTCTCTAAAGTCCCCGCTCTCCCTATCATCTTTGATTCTCTCTCTGCCCCTTTTTTTAGCGCTTCTTAGGAATATCGCACCCCATTATCGTCTTCAGCCTGCTCGCAATCCATCTTTTGCATCGGCGTGTTATTATTTTGGGTCGTTGCGTCCCTTAATGTGTTTTGTTTATATGTTAATTGAATCGACGGAGTGATATACTGCGTCGCCCACTGCACGGCTCCTCCACCCGCCTCACTCGACTTTTCGCCTCCTCCCAGTCCCAGACTCTTATCCGATTCTAAGAAAAGAACGGCAAACAAGCACGACTCGACACATTGACGGCCATCTGTATGTAAGCTTGTTTCAGATTATTGCTCTTTTTCTCCCATTCTTCGAGGTCTAGCTGTGGTGATATACATATATCATGTTTATGTGCATTGATATATAATGCCCGGCTACTCCCTTGCGGGCGAGTCTCTACATATGTGCAAGGCGAACGGCCGACATCCTAGAGGAAACCTTGGTTCCCTTACCGCCCGGCCACCCCTGCGCAGGTCTCTGTAACTGATGCCCAAAGATTACACAGCGTTCTCCGGCAGGCCCCCCGGCTCACCTTTCGACACATCTCTTTACTGCTGCTGCTGCTGCTGCTGCTGCGTCTACGGAGTATTCCTGCAGCTGTTGTTTCTGCTTGCTTGCGTGCGTGCGTGCCTGGGAGCTGGCTGGCTGGCTGGCTGTTCGTTCCGGCCTGCTGTCTCCGTCACCCTTTTCCTGCTTGGGGGGGTTTTCCGGTGATCCCTCCCATTCCATGCGCCTATACTGGCCTCCTCGCATTGTCCGCTGCATGCCATTTATCGTCCCTGTCGCACAAAATCTCGAAGATGTCTCATGCAAGTCGTGAAGCATAGTGCAACCGGCCCATAGCACAATCCCAAATCCACGCGCAACATCTCATATTACACCCTGATAGACGTCGTCATACCATCCCTCACTCAACCGAAAGAAAGATTGAGTGAAGGGGAAAGAGACGAACAGCGCTGTCTAGCCGAATTCTCGCTATCTTTGTCGTCGCTCATAGCCATTCTAACCCCATCTTTGATCATCTCTGGCAGATATTTGGGTGAGGTTATGGTTATATTCGTTGCTCCCTCCAGATTGCAAACATGACTTCGACAATACCGCAACCGACTCGGTTGCCTTCTAACCCACCTCCTCGAAGCCCTCCGAGATCAGCCCTTCCTCCGATACCAGCTTCGAAAACCAGGAAAAGCATGCCAGGGCCCGGCGACTCGGTTAAGCTATACGCAACTTCCCCCCTTCCTTCAAAATTACGAACTCCCTCCGCCGTCCAGACCAAGTCTGCGGTTCCATCTAATCTCGGAATATCGTCGCTTTCACCGAGTAAAAGCTCGTTCAGATCCCCCTCGGTATGCCTTACCCCTGGAAGCCCAGACAAAGCCGTACGCCGGACCGTGAGCATTGCTTCATTCCCCCAACCCCCCAAGGCCAGTCGACCCTCTCTCTCCACTCAATCTTCTTTCTCAGGAAATCCCCCCGATAGCCCAAGGTCAGTGCCGAATCCCAGGACGAAGAAAAAGGCTCCGCGCATAGATACTGGCGCGGGGTCGCAACTGAAGAACTCAAAAACACCAAGTCTGCTCAACGGTAGCGGGGATGGTAAATCGATACCCAACTCTCGTAACTCGGGAGGCCACGCTAGTATAGTATCGCCCACCCAAAGTCGGTGCTCATCCGCCCAGGACTCGTATTCGACCAGTGCCACCACGTATGATGATGAAGAAGGCACACGGCGAGGGCGAGATGGTGTTGATGACTCGACAGGCGGTTCGAATCGAAGTCCCAAGGGCAGAGAGGGCAAAGGAAATGTCCTGGTAAGTGTGCGAGTTCGACCAGACCTGTCGTCCGGAGAGGGCAAAAACTCTGAAGGAGAATGGTTGGTCGACGGTAGAAGGAGTTTGGTGTCGTATAGAGGAAAAGAAGGCGGCGATTATTTTTACGGTAATTATCAATCTTTACACTCGACCTTTTCGACACAAACATGGCGGGATGAATTAACTGTTCGATAGATAATGTTTTTACCACGCATGATAATAATGCTAAGGTGTACGATGCATCTGCGAAACGACTTGTCCGCCGTGTCATGGAAGGTTACCATGGCACGGTTTTTGCTTATGGAATGACCGGCACTGGAAAGACGTTCTCTATGCAGGGAACCGCTACATCTCCCGGTGTCATTCCCCTTGCGATCACAGATATCTTCTCATATATCAGAGAAACACCCCATCGCGAATTCTTGCTCAGAGTTAGTTATCTGGAAATATACAACGAGAAAATCCACGATCTGTTATCCATGTCCGCATCGGGGCAAGGAAATGGAACTGGGGCCCAAGGCCAGCAACAAGAAGAGATCAAGCTTCGCGAGGATAGCAAGCGAGGAGTTTACGCTACGCCACTCAAGGAGGAAATAGTCCAAAGCCCAACCCAATTGCTACGTGTTATCGCCAGAGGAGACCATTCCAGGAGAACGTCCAGTACGCAGTTCAACTCACGAAGTTCTCGAAGTCATGCTGTCGTCCAGATTGTTGTGGAAAGCAGAGAGCGAGCTCCTGTAGCTGGGCATGAGAAGCGGGCTGCAATTGCTCCCGGTGGAGTCCGTGTATCAACCCTCAGCCTGATCGATCTCGCTGGTTCCGAGCGTGCTGCCGAAAGCAAGGAACGCAGGGCAGAAGGTGCCCATATTAACAAGAGTTTGCTTACCCTTGGAACAGTCATTGCTCGTCTAAGCGTTGAGAAGGAGGGCAAAAATGGAGACAAGGAAGGAAAACATTTACCCTACAGAGACAGCAAGCTCACTCGATTGCTACAGCCCGCACTCTCGGGTAACTCCCTTGTCAGTATTCTATGTACGATCCAGGTTGGGTCTGGCGGAACCGCTGCATCTTCCCAGTCACATACGAACGAAACCATGAACACGCTCAAGTTCGCTGCACGAGCAAAGAATAACATCGTCAGCCACGCAAAACGAGCCGAGGAGTCTTTGGGCAGTGGTACAGGCGATGCAGGCAGCAGGGTCTTGCTTGAGAGGTACAGAATGGAGATCCAGTCTCTACGTCGTCAATTGGAGAATCAAGCCAAAGCGGAGACACCAACCACCACCTCCGAGACAGAATCAAAAGAAGAAGAGCGTGCCAGAGAAAAAGAAGCCGCGCTTCGTCACGAAGAACAAATGCTGGAGATGCAGCTTGCTCGTACCGCGCTGAAAGAACGAATTGAGCACTTAAACAGGTTGATCCTATGTTCAAAATCAACTGGCGTCAATGCAAGTCTAGCTAGGTTCTCCTCCCAAACCAGCCCAGGCTCCGTGGATATTCGATCACTACGATCCTCCGTTTCTCATTCTACACTGGGTGCCGGTACAGCATTGAATCGCTCTACATCTCTTGCCTCAATGAAGAGCAGTGCAAGTGCTGGCCATGCCAACGCAGTTGCCCCCTTTGCCCATCACCAAGATGACGACGATGAGATGATCGGTGAATTCGCGGACGGCATGGCAAGCTTGCAGGTCCAAGTAAATGCACTCCAGGCCGACCTTGCAGACAAAAACAGATACATCTCAACGCTTGAGCGTCGACTACTTCAAGCCCGTCGATCAAGTCATTCTCGTGTTTCCATGGGCCTGAACCATCACCACCATCTCAAATCGTGTAGCACGACATCTTCAAATAATGATTCGGACCTTGCCTCTCTTTTGCGGGAGAAGGACATGGAAATCGCAGACTTACGATTACAGTTGGACGACAAAGATCGAATGGTGGCCGCACTGAGATCGGCAGCGAGGCAAAGGGACATGGCACACCTGACTGGCGGGAGCACAAACGCAACTAATCGAGCAGATGCTGCGCCTACACCTCCACCGCTTCACCCACCGCCACCTGTGGGAGCAGATTACAAGATCATGGGCATCAACAACGCCATATTACCCCATCACAACAGCCACAGCCACAACAACCATCACAGCGAGACGAACTCATTATTTAGCAATAGTGGCGTTGGCTCTGGCTCGGTATTGGGACGGGTCAGCCCCAACCTTCTTCCGCCGGTGAAGTTAAGCGCCGAAGATAGAGATAGGAAGCGAAAGAGCGTTGATGAAATGTCGCGCATGCTGGATGAGATGATTCAAGATCGAGTCGAGAGCGGCCATCTCATTAAGACTTCCAAGGGTCATATGCGAGTTTCCAGTGCTGGTGTATCCCCAAAGAGCAACGATGGAACTCCGCAAAAAAATAGCAGGATGTCAAGAATGTCAACTGGCACAGTTGCAGACCTGTCGTCCAGCAATGGCCTCTTCTCGGACGTCACCTACAGCCATTCTCGCACCAAAGACTCCATTTCCACCAATTCCGACAATCAGCTTCGGCGTGATGAAGAACCCTCGGAGCAAAATGCAACGAACATGGATACCTCCGTTGACAAACCGGCTCCGAGGCCTATGTCATCGTAGTCATCCCTACACTACTTGCCCGTCCAAGTAATGCTGGTCACGATTCTCTCGATTTAATTCCATATACAGTTTACCAGTTAACCTTGGTTGCTTTTACCTAGAGCTTGATACATTTCTCTACTACGCCTTTTTACCATTTATTACCTACTTATTTTTATGCCTTGGTCATGCACGTTTTTCTTGCGAAAAGGGTCTTTCGATTTCATCTTATCTTTCCTTTTTCCTCTCCACAATTTCCCGCCATACCATCTTCGCTTGCTTTTCCCCGCCGGCAGCCTGCGTACTCCGTACATTGTGCTATTTCTACTTCTTTGTACAAGTTGGATATCCTGATTTTTCTCGTTACTTGTTTGTTTGGCCTTGGTGGTCAACCTTAATTCGCTGGTGTTTTGATCAGTCAAAAGCCAGATACGATTGGTTTGCCGCATTTTTCCTTGCTTGTTTCTTCTTTTTCAGACATGTCAGTTATATATCCCCATTCTCCTCTTTTGCGTATCTTATGACTACTTTTGTCGCGGTCTCCCTAATTTTTTTTTTTTTATACGAGCTTTGCTCTTTGTTCCCAATCATTAGTGAGCGGAGAATTGAAATGAAGTACTTATACAGCATGATGTATGAATAGAATACTATTCGTTCTCATCTCTTTCCGACGTCTTTACTGTTTCCCGTTCCAACCTAAGATAGAGCAATCGATGTACTTGTATATAGCGATACTATTTATAGCGCTGCAAGTTCCTGGGTATCTTTAAGGAAATCGAAATATGCCACTAATTTTTATAAGATAACTAATCCATCGAAAAGGAAAGAGAAGAACGAAAGAAAGCTGGGCATAGTAGTTGACCAATATACTCAATAAGAGAACCCGTATTACCCAGCATTAGTTGTGCTTTCTGTATCAATGGCGTCATTGGCATCATGATCATGAATTGCTCCATTTTCTATCAACACAGCACGTAGCTTGTCATTCTTGGATGCAATAGCGACTAACAGTGGAGTTCGGCCAAATTCATCACTGACATTTACAGAGGCTCCACGCGCAATTAAACGGTTTATCAGGTCCATATGCCCAAAAGTCGCCGCTGTAAATAACGGTGTGTGCTCACTATCATTCCGAGTCTCTATATTCGCTCCACGATCAAGAAGCAGAGTGGCGGATTCAAGGAACCCTTTTCTTGTAGCTGATGATAAGGGGGTATCTCCGGCTGAGTCTTTAGCTTCTATATTTGCTCCATGTTCAAGAAGCAATTTGGCAAATTCAGTATTCCTAAGACCAGCGGCCACATGAAGCGGGGTGCTACCTGTGTCATCTTGTAGGTCTATGTTA